ATGAGGGCATGACCTTACGAGGGCATGAACACGGGTGCGATGAGCCAGTGTACCTCGATTATCGACTGCACTGCCTTTACCAGCAGCGATGTCTTGTGCCCCCTTCTGTACATTTCGGTTTTGAGTACCCGCCTTTGCTGAACACGCGATGCTATCTCCGAATGTTGAAGCCTCTTCTTTGTCGAAATTCGCTAACAAGGCATGAGGCCAGATCGAGCGGTGCGGTTGGGCTTGCGCAGCATACTAGGTATCGACATCGTCGTAGTCGCTTTGGCATGCATCGCCGGGAATGTATGACTGAAGAGCGGGCAGTCTCGTGCGAGGTCCGAGAAGCAGCGCGGACTGAACGACGGTGAGCATGACCCCTCTGCACTCTTTGCTATGATTAGATTTTCTTGTCCCGACTCCTGAAGACATCTCTAAACCTGAGCAACATATATCCACTTCGTCTTGAGCATCCGATGATTGGCTGTCGCTGACAAAGTAGTTGCTAGGGGCACAGAAGGTCCTGCTGGCTTTTCGGTGGCGGTCCTCAGACGTGGCTATCTTCCACGCGTGTAGAGAAAGAATTGGCGTTGCCGATGCGCGTCCATGTCTTCTCCGCTCGGCGATCCTTTCAGCTGCAGCTAGATGGCATCGCAAGCTGCATCATCGGGCCATCTCGTCCGCCGAATTTCTATTGTCGTTGTGCGCGTCATTGCAGATAGCACAAATGGTTGATGTCCAAACGTCGTGAGGAAAGTATGGGAGCGCGTCGACGCGTCGACGATCGGGATGGACTGAGCGGGGCCTTAGACGAACATGGTTTAGCCGAAGTTTGCCAGAAGCACACCTCGCCTCATCAAACTTCTCCCATCCTGCATCACGCCCGCCGCCAGCATCAATGCCAGCCATGTCGAGAGCCGGGGAATCGCTTGACATCTCGTCGTTTGGCCGGCACCGATGTTAGAGACCTTTGCTCCTGATATGCTAATGCCGTACGATGCGCCGCGCCTCCGGCAGCTATGCATCGCGGCATGCGGTTCGACGCCCCGGCTTTCGTATGACGAAGGTATGTTCAACATCGTCTCGTTGTCTCTCTGCCTTTCCTCGCGACGTTTATTTCCTTTCCCAATCTTCTTCCTACGAGGTTGTCCGTCCTTTTCGTATTGTCATGCCGCAGGCGCCGGCTGTGTCCGGCGAGATGTTCGTGCGTTGGGAAGAGGAGGGATCGTTCGACGGTGTGGTCTGGCGGAGGGCGTACCGCGGCTGCCGTGTTGCTCTACCGCAGCCGTTGAATACTGGAATTTTACTGCTTCGTAGTCAGTCCTTGTCATCATGCTACAGTAAACTCTTACCATGTCTTCGCCGGCTCTCTGCGTTTCCTGCAACCCATGGTTCTCCACTGTGGTTGGTCCTTGTCACCTACATCTTGTTATTTGTGCGGACCGAACTTGAGCGAGTTCAAGAAGAGGCTGGGCATGACCACCAGCTGTCACATCATGTCCATACCGTTCAGGAGGCATGCTGAATGCTTGATGCTGCGTCTCGCCTTCGCCCTGAGGCAATGGCTCTCGCGTACTCTTTGTTGTAAGAAGATCTTTCAGCCATGTTCCACGTTGATGCTGCTTGTGGCGAATCGCTCAATCCGATACATGTGGCCGTGAGCAGACGTTCTGTGACGACGCGGTCCGCGGTAGAAGAAGGCGACTGAGGCTGGGGACGCGGAGGTGCAAATTGTCGCTGCTTCGCCTAGACCATGCAGCTGGCAAAAAAGCCGGCGGAATTGCTGTCGCGGAAGCAATTTGACTTGTGAGAGTTCCCGCCGGTATGGCCATGTACTCCAGCATCCAGCGTCGGCGGTCCTCATGAGCCCGGTGTTTTGCACCGCTCCTTGTATCGCTCAACCTCCTGCGTGTCCTTTATATTCCTTCGCGGAGTTCTTGGCGCGCAGGTGCGGAAGGTGGGCGGATGTAGGAAGGCTTGGTACCGGCGGACAAAGCTGTACTGCAGCTCTGGGCACTATGATCAGGATATTAGCCTAAGTCCATGTCAGTCTTGGGCGTGCCGACCATCCGGCTGGTGATGCTCGGAAGGTTCGTCACGGGAAGAGCGACGCCTCCGCATGCATGATCGGACCGTAGCTCGGTCGGTCGATGCCTCGCCTAGCCAAGGAGTTCCCTCTGGGGCTTGCTTACCTTTGTGTGCATGGGATGAATCCTTCGCATGGCCGTGTCGCCTTCGTACTCTGGCTGCGCCTCTGGTGTACTGGTCTTCGTCGCTCGCCTCAAGTATTGCCGCGATGTCGTCGAGGCTTCGGCACCGGTGCGTGCTGTGAAGGAGGCGTCTGCCATCGCGGGAGAGCTGTGGAGGTTCGATGTGGGAAAGGTCTGCGGGGTATGCTCAGGGTGATGGCGCAGGTTCGGTGGAGTCGCGCTGCGAGAGGTAGGTCGCCGAAGACTTCTATCACGTCCATCGGCGTCATGCAGATCTTGGAAGTATCGGTCTCTCCCCATGGGTCCCCCGGGCGCTCAGTAAGCTGGAACCCTGAGACGCCGTTGTTGGTTGGGGTTGTTCTTCCGGCGCCCTTCCCGCCCTTCGTCGAGCTGTATGCTCGTCGCCAGTAGAGCCCCTGTTGTGCCTTCGCCCATGAGTCGCGCTGTTCGATGCGGAGAGAGGAGAGGCCGTTCATGTTGGCGCGCTGATGCTCGAAGAGGTGATGGTCGTCGTGTAGCTCGTCTAGCTCCGATGTGCAGAGGGTCGTCGGACATGATCGTGCCGCCGTCGAAGAAGTCTTGCGGGATCGAAACGCGAGGAGAGGTCAAGCCCTTCGTATTCCAGAGGCAAATCTGTGCCAACTGGAGACTCCATCCCATGCAGTACCTACGCGCCCTTGTGCTGCCCTTGGGTTGTATTCGACCCGACATGTTCGTACGCCCTTCAATATCTCCGCCGTCGCCGTCGCCGTTCTTGCCGCCGCTTCGATGCCAGGAAGGCAGTGGTCGAGGGGAGTCTTTCGTCGAGCTCATCGGGCTGGTTGAGTCGTGGTGCTGGTGGATGTCTCCGCGATGGTGCATATCGGAAGACGTGTTTTGGTGCCCGCCCTGAGCGATGTAAGTCACAACACTTGTTCATATACTCACAAGTAAACAGAGACTAGGCTGCTCCTCCCCTCAACGGAGGTCTCTTCGCATGCTCGTCGTCCTCGACTGAGGTAAGGTCGTCGCCGCCGACTGCGATCCCTGAGCTCATCGCTGCCTCGACGCCGCCCCTGTTCTGGCAGAGTTGCTGAGCCTCTTGCCGATGCATGCAGCTGCTTCAGGGGCTTCGTCCGCCTTTGAGCAGCTTGTGTTCAAGTATCTGTAAGTCTCTGGGCCATCTCGAGTCGGTGCAGGCTTGGCAGTGGTGATGGTGCTGAAGGGGCCCGCGGAGATTATCACTAGCGTCAAAGGCAAAGCAAGGTCAGGATCACCAACACAACACAGTAGGATAGGACTTCAAGGCCTTGCGAGGAGGATGCAATACCATATAGCTATCTAAAATCATCATCGTCGTCCTCCCAGCTCTTCTCTTGGTGTTGCAGTATCTCAGTGGCAGATGCATCAAGCTGCCGCCGTCTGCTCACCCCTGTCTCATTGCTCGCGGTGATATTGATACTATTGAACAACTCGCCGTCACCGCCGCTCTCACAGCTAGCTGCCTTTACATAAATCAAAGCTTTTTGTCCCACTCCCTCCCTCTCTCCTACTCCCACAACCACCACCCAAAATTGCCTCGCAATCGCCCTTTTTCTGCTCCTCGAAGCTTCCTTTCCTCTTCCAGCACCTCTACTCTACTTGGCAATTGCCTTAAGGTATCCCCCCACTGCTCCTTTGACAGCCCGCTGATTTTGATAGCAGTAGCGCTGACTTTGACTCTCCCCGCCACCTCTTGCCTCGCCTGGAGTCGGTCGTCCATGCCTTGCATGGGGATGAGTATAACCCTTCCATCAGTATCTTCTCCCCTTTGCCTTGAACTTTGCTGACGACGACCTCGCCGGCGCTGCTGTCGCGCGTCTGGTCTAGTACCCCGCTCCAAGAGCCAGCTTCAACCACCTCTACAAGTATCCCCTCCCCTTCTCTAACATTGCGACACCGTCATTGATACGGCGTCGTCCTTGTCACGCTAATTCGCAACTTGTAGTCGCTGGGTCACTTCATGGCACATCTTGCCGTCGCCAGCTCTGACCACATCTTCAGGTATCTCTTCTCCTCCTCTAACATTACGACGTCGCCATTAACGCGGCGTCGCTCGTACTGCTAATCTTCAACTGGTAGTCGCAGCAGATCGATTACGGCACTTGCTGTCGTCGCCAGCAGTGTCTTCATCAAACCACCCAGCTTCATTACCCCGCAATGTTTACCGACAAAATGACTATGTCCACTCCTTGGTATGTTACCTCTTCTTCCTTATGTCATTTATCCCATGACTGACCTTTGCCTAGTGGTGCTTGCCCTTCCCCATCCATTTCCTTATCTCCTCCACCCTCCTTCATCCAGGTTTGTCATCCCCCTCTTTACTGACCCTACCCCAGACAATGGCGGCCAATTACGAATACACGATCAACTCCCCGGCTTGCCGCATTCCGTGTTGCAGTAGCAACGCGCTGGTTGTCGATCTCATACATGCGGACCCATCATGACCACTGCGACAACTCTTGGTCCACTTCTAAGTTCATTCCCTTCCCTCATCGAGCTCATTGACTAACGATGCCAGTATATGGCGCCCCAAACCTTACTCATACCCCTACCAAGTACCCCGTATACCCAATCGAGGTGATCACTCTGGCTGACCATACCCAGGCTATTGCCGTCGCCTTTCGTCGAGCTCAAGACCCCGAATCGAGACGCCTTCCACAACCTGCTTGCAGCTTTCCAAGAAGCTCGACGAGGCTTGCGCACGCAAGGCCTCATGGACTTCTGTTGTCTTTCCGATACTTCCCTCCTCCGCTTCTCTCGCCTCCGCCTAAGAGAAGAAGTACCATGTCGGATGTCAGCGCTGCACAACATGACAAGGCACCCTCTACACGTACGTATTCCCCCTCCCCCGTCGTTGACTAACTAGTGTTCCAGGGTGGGATGGCAAAAATCTGACTCTGGCTCCCCGTCGCCGCCTCCTGGTAACGCCCTTCTCTTCGGAGAAGGGCGGCTAACTGAGCTCCAGTACTCGTGCTTGACCGCATTGAACCTTCTTCCAATCGTTTCGCTTTCCTAAGCATCCTTGCCACATTCTCCATTCTTTCCATCCTCCCCTCCCCCGAGCTCGCCATCCATGCCGACTTACGCGCTGGCCAGCACATCGGCGAGCAGTATACCTTTCATCAGCGTCTATCCGACGCTAAGTATCTACCTACCCTTACCGGCGACATGCACTTACTGACATGTATTTAGGCTGTCTCTCACATTCACGCCAGCGTCTCGAGATGCCATGTGGTCGAGACAGACGATCCATACGCCCATCGCGGGCAGCAGTCGCATTCGACCTCAAGGCTTCCACAGCCTGTCGCATGTACGTCGTCCTCAACCTTTGCCTTTTGCTAACGTGTCTCAGTTCTCGAAGTGATGTAAGTACCTCTCCCCCCTTTGGTTGTTGCTAACGTGTCTCAGTGTGGGAAGTGAATCTGTCTCTGTGCGTCCCCGCCGCGCTTCCTGGAAACATCTCACCTAGTCTGAGGGAGATGGCTGAACAGGGCAGTCCCAGCAGGAAAGGTCATTGCCTGCTGGTGTCTTCGTTTGTTTAGGCGACCGCGCCGCGAGTGGTCAAGCCAATTCCTCGCCGAGAACGCCTTCCGCCCCTGAAAGTTCAAGCAGTAGAACTGGAAGCAAGCAAGATGTGTCACTGGGACACTGAGCAAAAACAAGCTACAATGAAGAGGCGAGCTGGCGCCAGACGAAGTGAGCATCATCTTTCCTCTTCGATCCATTCCCCTTCATTTACTAACACTTGCCAGATACCAGCACCCCGACAAGCCCTGCCATCCACCCAGGGCATGGGAGGCAAAATCTGACTCCGGGTCCGCGCCGCGTCGCACCCGCCTCCCGGGCAATGTCCTCTCCCACGACGAGAGGGTAGCCAAGTGAGCTCCAGTCGCCAGCAAGACCTCATCACCACTTGCTGGTGTCGCCCTGATACCACCGCCTCGAGCGAGCGAAATCGACGCCCGCTGAAAGACTGTCTCAAATGCCAGCCTTATCAAACTCCGAAGGTCATTTGCAATTGCAATGCGACGTCGCTATCTTTCCCACTTTTGCAAGCGTTGCAGCGTTCTTCATTGGAAGATGGAAAGTACACGAAGTTCACGCCTTTCGCTTCTGCCAGGACATACTCGCCGGTACAAGCAGCGACCCATTGGCAAGTGAAGTACAAGACCGGTGAGTAGCTTCTTGCATCCTACTTCAAACCCATACTAACTCGTCCACAGGAAGTGTTTTCGGACGTCGCTTGTGGTGGTCTCGATAACATCTGCTCCATCTACAACCTGTCGGCTCGGAAAGGCCCAACACATGTAGACGCAAGCTTTTCTGCTACTCGTCAACAAGCGCATCCTCACGTCGCTTGTTGGCATGACCTGTGTGCTGTGGGATCGGGTCGGTCCATCCGCCGACTCAAAGACTACATCACTCCCACCGCCGATGAGAACGCATACCCGCCTGGCGATGAGGTTTCGTCCGTTGTCAAGGACAGCCCAAACAAGCTGAGCATCGTCAACATCCCCACATACATCGAGGAGGAGCAGATTCGAGAGCTTGTTGGGTCTTGGGACACAAGCTTTTCTGCTACTCGTCAACAAGCGCACCCTTACATCGCTTGTTGGCATGACCTGTTTTGTCAGGGACAGCCCAAACAAGCTGAGCATCGTCAACATCCCCACATACATCGAGGAGGAGCAGATTTGAGAGCTCGTCGAGACCCAACAAGCTGATCTTTCTTCTCTCTTCTCCTTCTTGGATCTCGAGACTGGCTCCAAGGTGCATGAGTTCGCCGACCAGTCATCATCTTGACTGAGACAATCTTCATGACCGTCACGCTTGAGTCAACCTCAAGCTCTGCTTCTTCCGGTTGCTCCATCACTACTGCCTCTACTGCGCTGCTCGAGCCGTCCATCACCTTCGAGGTCCCGCAGAAGGGCGTTCCTGACGTCGCGTCCACGCCTTGGTTTCGCTTCAACCTCCTTACCTCCTTGGCTCCTCCATGCATATACTACGCTCACACATCGCCTCCTTACATGACCGATATGAACCAAGAAACGATCCATAGTGAGGGCAGCGTTGTTCTCATCGTTGTTGACGGATGTGTTCCAGAAGGTCATCACCATGGTACATGAGTACGTTCAAGGAGAGGACTTTGAGGAGGACGATGCTGGCCCTCAGGCCGGCTTCGAGGAGGAGGATTCGACAGCGACAAGTCGCCTTCCCTAGTGATGGGTCGGTGCCCATGGTAATCCGCCTTCTCCTGCGATGGGGGTTGGCGTTCATGGTAAGTCGTCTTCCCCACCGTGGGGTTGACGCCCGTCTTCGGACGGCCCAGGAGTATTCGGTGATCACGGCGAGGAGAGGTCTAATGCAGCAAGTCCGCTTCTACCTCCTACGCACCATCGAGACATCCCATCTCCCGAATCAGAATCCAGAATCGCGAGGAGTCGAAGAGCAGTACGTTCTGCCCAGGGTCAGTGTCACCGTCGCGAAGCGTGGCAGCCATACCTTGAGATACCTTGCCTCACGATGTCCGGAACATCTGCATCTCTGTTCGGGGGCGATGCGCCATCCACCTCCGAGAACAACGACGTAGCGTCGGCAGTCAAGATGCCCAGCGCCCCAGATCCTCCTCCCAAATGTTGCTTTATCTGTCTTCGAGATCGAGCTCAAATCCGACTGTTGCACTGGATGTCAAGCCCCGTCAACTCTTGGTACGTTACAAATTGGATTGTCCCTTCCATAATGAATCATTATACTAACGATGCGATAGACATTTGCGGCGGTAGGTCGCCTTCCCTGACATAGGGTCGGCGCCCGTCGTGAGCAGAGAAGAACTCACACCTCTTCTTATGTCGCACAAGACAAACGTTTGGATCTTGAAGTTGGCGGCAAATGCAGAGCATCTCTTCAACAACTACAACATCGACCTGTTCATCGAGTACGTGGAATTCGTTGCGCTTGGTCGTCCGGGAACTTCTCCGGCAGACCTCTCGCCCAAATGCCTACAACGTTGCGCCACAACATCAACAGCTTTCACGCCCCATGCTCAACGACGACAAGTTTGAAATGCATCCCGCACGATCACGTACTCCTGTCCTTCACGTCCAAGAACAGAGTCTTGAGGATCGATACGGTACCCCACAGACATTTCCGGGCATCACGAGAGTAAACCTGCAAACCAAGATGGCGGAGATGAGCCAACGCATAGTTGCTAGCACTTGGTTTCAGCACTTCCTCTGGCGGCCCTCATCGGCAAGAAGTACTTTGTGCTTCACGACACCAACGCGATGGCATCGCAACGCATACTTCATCTCCTCCGACGGCTCGTGCCAATGGCAACCACATCAAGACCTGCTCTGATGTTCGGCGAGATCGGCCACCATCTCAGCGTCCGCCGCCTTCGCGTATGTTGAATATTTCATACCTCAAGCTGTAAGCCGCCTTCACCATCCTAGGGTTGGCACTTGTCTTGGGGCGACAGTTCAGAAGCAACCGATGTCTCTTCACCCAACCAGTAGTACGAGCATATCGTCGACAGACGAAGCTCACACATCGCAGTATCCTGTGACGCCCTGGAACACTTCATGCCCGGATGGCGGTCTCCATGTGTCGCTCTTTCGCCTCCCCATCGTACTCGTCAACAAGCGATCGCCTCTTTCGCAGAGGAACCCAACCAGTAGTACGAGCATATCGTCGACAGTCGAAGCCCATACATCGCAGTATCCTGTGACGCCCTGGAATACTTCATGCCCGGATGGCGGTCTCCATCTGAGACTGCTACCTCGCTACTGCTGTATGCTCGTAGCCCGTGCCCAGAGTGCCACGACTTCTCCTCTCCATCGCCGCTGCCTCCAGCTCCTGCGCACGGAGTTTACCATCTTGAATCAGCTGAGAGACTTGCAGCACCCATCGCCTCTTTCGGGGATGAACACCACTCCGGATCTGCTACTCGTCAACAAGCGCACGCCTCTTTCGGAGAGGAATACAACTCCGGATCAGGGCGGCGGCGGTGACGAGGATACCGCCAAGCGCAAGCTCTCCAACCCGAACATGATCGCCGTCGTTACGGGACGTAAACTTTCGAAACCTCGCCAGAAGCCCGTCTCGGAGCGGCCCGTCCTCAGGATGCGCGGCGACAGGAAGGCCAGGTACCGAAGCCAATCCACTGGACACTACCAGACGGATTCGCTAGCTTCTGCGCTATCTACCTCGCCATTTCGTGCTACTCGTCAACAAGCGCAAAGAGAAGTTCAATGATATTAGCCCTCAGGTGGGCTTCGAGGAGGATCTGTACGCTGCTATGGCGCTGTCTGGCACCAAGGCTCAGGTCCTTGAGATGCACAAGGAGTTGGTCTGATTTGAGATGGATATGGATGATACTGGTAACTGGTGTGTAATGGCTTGAGATGATATGGACATGACTGTTACCACTACCCAATCGCCTCTTTCGGGGAGGACGCGATGGAGGCTTCGGCGGCGGACGTGATAGGATGCGTCAGCTCTACTGCCGATTCCGGGTTCGGGCTCTTCGACCGCAGGTCGCCCAGTAACATTATCAAGATGCCAGAACACTTCAAGCCCTCTGGAGGCAAAGGAGGAGTCTCCGCCCTTCAACAAGCCGCGCGAGGCTACACCCGACCTCGCCACCTTCACAAACATCCAGAAGCGCGAACGTCGCATGACACAATGGGACATCAAGCCCGCAGGCTACGAGAACATCACCGCCGGAGGCCGTCGCATCGCAACGCATACTTCAGTCCCACTGGTCTGCCTATTCCGTTCAGTGGCTCACGCTTGAAGCGCCTCCCACCCCCGGGTCTCAGCGTCTGTCTTCCCCAATGACGCCCCATGGGATGACCGCCAACAGCTCTGCCCTGGACAAAGCATGGACCCTGGACTGTATGTATTCTCGAAATCGTCTTTGGCTACCCAAGCGACGACTTCGAGAACACATACAGTCCAGGGTCTATGCTAGATCAATCTTCGCCACGGCTGCGGTCCGTTTGCACAGCTCTGTCCTAGACAAGAGCATATCACCATCGCCAAAGAGTTACCGCAGCGACGACTTCGAGAATACATACAGTCCAGGGTCTATGCTAGATCAATCTTCGCCACGGCTACGGTCCTTTTGCTCCATTCACTCTTTCGCTGACCCCCAGCCGATGGAACCAGTTCATTGACCCCAACAACACCATCGTCTTCATTGGCGGTCTCTCCGGCTACGTCGCCGAGGACGAGCTCCGTTGCTTCTTCCGGGGCTTTGGCGAGATTACATACGTCAAGATACGCCCAGACAAGGATGAGTCGGTGGAGTGGATGATGAGAAGAGTCGAAGGAAACCCTCCTTGATATTGCGGTAGATAGAGTAAGTTTCCCCTCCTCGCTTCTCTTTCCGGTTCCAGTTGCTAACCATTCGCAGATTTATACTTGTTTGATACCTATTCGGTCCCATTTGCTTGCGTGATGTGATGCTTCCGCCTTTGATGTCGACATGGCCGCGTATCTTTGCTTCCGGTAAGTACTTCCTTCTTCACCCCCCTTCGTACAAGACCATAGCTAACTCTTTCACATCTCCTCTCAACTTGTGCCGACGCTAGCTCTGCGCTTCTCATGGCGGTGCGATGATCTTCCGAGACTACTTCCTCGTAGTAGTATCTCCAGTCCGCACCGCCGAGATCTGAGTCTTTTCTCTTCCCCCAGCACTTGATCCGATGGTAGCTATCCCGAGCGTCGCTTCTGGCAGCGGCGACAGCAATCTGTGAGTGTCGGTCAAATCGACCAGATGCCCAAAGGTTTAAGACGGTGGCTGACTTCAAACGCATGACGTTCGATATTGCGCTGGCTCTCGTGCGACTATCGCATCGCTGTAAGTACTTCCGACCAGATGCCCGATGAATGAAGCTTATGCTGACTTTATGCACGTACGCCTTCCCGACTGGCGTTGACGATGGTCAGCTTTCTCGAGCCCAATCATTCGCAACGGCGGATGCTATCTCGTGAGTGTCGTTCAGATTGAACAAGTGTCTGAACATCCGGCTCCTTCACTGACCTCAGCGCCAGGCATTCCAGTCCGCATTCCGGCAGGCTTCGGTCTTGGTTGCTTCATCGCAGTAGGTGCCTTGACCAAATGCTCGGTGGTGAGGCACATTGCTGATCATCAAAATATACGCCTCCTCGCCTGGCTCTTCTTCCTGGTCACATCGCCTGACCGTTTCGCATCTTCCACTCGCAGCATCTCCGCCCGATTGCCAACCAGATCTGGTAGCCTTCTCGAGCGTCGTTATCCACAACGGTCAGGCAATCTTGTGGGTATTGTTCTCATTGACCAGCTGACCCGAAGTATGCAGACCCAACCGGCGTGTTCTCATGTCCCCATCTCTTTCTTTGATCGATCACAGTCCCAATGTTGGTTTCAGGGAGTCGCATCAACCTCTAAGGTAGTGAGATCACTTCCTCATAGTGGCCTCTCACTGAGCGGCTCCCAAGAGCAAGTAAGCCGCATTTCGAGCTGCTGTCCAGGACTTTTGTCCTGTATAGACCCACAGCTCGATGGTCGGGCGTGGGTTAAGCATCTTTTCCAATTCATTGAAATGATGCTGTGGGTCGTCCGTACATTTCCCATACTTCACATGAAGTAGTGGGTACTTGATCGAATGTGGTAGCTTCTGGTGTCGGCGGCGGCGCCACGCATCCGGTGAGTGTCGTTGGAATCGACCAAATGCCCGAAGATATGGACTTTGCTAATGCGACGCGTGTATTCTGACTTTGTTCGACTCTGCGGCGGACTTCCGGTTTTAACGACTACTTTGAAGGTAAGTACCTCCTCTTTTTCAAGACAACATCCTCCTAACCGCATGGTGTCGTATGCGCGCGATGTGCTCTTCCAGCTTCCTCACTCGGCTTCAGCGGCGTGAAGGTAAGTACCTCCGATCCCCCAAGTCAGCATCATGCTAACCGGTTGGTTTCGCATACGCGCATGTGCTCTCCTCGGATTCGACGGTAAGTACCTCGTTCCTCTCAAGACAGCAGCATGCTAACCGCGGGCGGTCTGCCTTCTCCAGGTTATTCGTGCGACGAGCTCTTGTCTAGTCTTCGCAATGCACCCAACGCGATAGTGTTGAGTGTGATCGTCTGCCCTGCTCCTCCCATTCGCGTACAGCTAACATTGTCGCAGATACGATTAAGCATCATCAGCAAGCTGCTACATCTGTCCCTTCTCGTCTCTTTCTTTCATGTCTGCCTCTTCCTCTTTTGGCTACCTGAATGCCAGAATGCGTCCTCGTTGGTTGATCGTCAACCTCAACTCCGCGGACGTCGTTCGTAGCTGACTAGATAGCCAAAGCAGCTTCCGAACGATGCGACGACATCGAAAGCCGACTACGAAGCATTTCAATGGTATAGCCTTGGCTTCAGGCGCCGCTCTGACGCTCCATCGTTGTGGTGCAAGGCTGGGGTCGCAGGAAGCGCCGCACCAAAGGTACGCTCAACACTCCATCTGCAGGCCATGCTAACATTGACTCAACCTTGACCGACCATCTCGGAACTCCTCTGCTCTCCCCCCGGCTCCCTGTCGGCGCTCAGTGCATGCCACACGCCGCCTGCTGCCTTGTTGCTGCGCACAAGCCCGGGTACCCGCTCGACGCAAACAAACGCCCTCACCGCCCGACCTTGGGTATATAACCACCACAATCGAGCTTCTCTTCGCCTTCGGGCATTTGGTCATTTGAAACGATACAGAGAAGATTAGCATGGCCCCTGCACTAAGGATGACACGCTCAATCAAAGAGACGCTAACATTTTTTTTGCGAGTCTTTTGGCTTCACTTTGCCTTGCGTAAGGTCAGCAATTCGAACACGCAAGGCGACGGCAGCACGGGCCTGTTGCACGCTTGCTTTCCCACGCTCTTTTTGCTGCCAACGCCGGCGCGCTGAGTCTGGACAAGCGACATAAGGGTTCGTCGAGCATCCATCCCAGGCTATGGTGTCTTGTTATCGACTTTGAAAAGCTGCTGATATCCAGGTCTGTCAATCCGTAGCTTTTTTTGCGAGTGCTTTCTGAGCTCATCGTTGGTATCGGTTCGACGTTGGTCCTGGTCTTCCAAGGGAACACACGATCTTCGAACGCCACTCTCCAACCAGTACAACGACTTCACAGAAAAGGACCTACTGCCTCAGGGCGATAGTAGTGTCCCGAAACTGGAGCCGAGAAGAAACCAAAGTGCATGCCCTGTCTTCCAGAACTCGGGAAGTCGGATATCTAAGGATGGTGTTATCAAGTATACTTGCTGCGCCCGTTACGCAGATTCCGAAGGCAGGTTGCGTATATGCAAGGACGCAGAGCTGTTCCGCTCGCCCGCTACATGGAACGGCATGTCGCGTGGGTCTGCAGGTTGCTCTGCTCCGACATTACTAGATAGATCAATCCATATCTTTTTCGATATCTCCTCGAGTTCGGATCTGAAGTGAGTGAGGCACGCCAACCATCTTGATGGCCGATTGCAAATCATGTCGTCATCCTTGAGGTCGGTGACGGAGATACGTTGCAAGAGGATGTAACGTCGTTATCACATACGGGCATCGAATCTGGAAACAACGATAGATAACGTGGAACGATCGAAGAAACATCAGATGAGATTGAGAGCGGAAGCGTCGCAAAAACGAAGAAGAGTGCTGAAGAAGACACGAGGGGTAGGCGTATTGTGCACTCACGCAATCGCTGTCAGTCATGACCTCAAGGGCCAAAGAAAGAGCAGCACTGTTATTGATGAAAACAGTTCAAAATCGATCCAAAGGTGAGAGGGGCGAACAAGATCATGGCCGTGATGGTTGGAACGGAGAGGTTTGACGGGCATAGCTAAACTCTAGGTGGTGCGAAGACCTCAATCGACGCTGATTGGCTGACGACCTTGGCGCCGCAGAACCTCCGGGCCAAGATCCGCATCTGCAAATCGTCACGCAGCAACATCACCACCGTTGACGTCGGCACCACACATCTCCGCCTGTCGCAATGGCGAAGAAAGGTATGCGCTCTTGCTTTACTCCATCCTCAGGTCCCCAGAAGCTAACACAAGGCCTCTGCTGATTTACAAGGCACCCTCTCACGGCTCACAACTCTACGTACATGCGCTGACGACGATACTTCACAGCAAAGTCCCGTACCATTATGGTGCGCCTAATCTCGATGGCCATGACGGGCTACTACCGGACAATGCAAAGACCACGTGCGCATCAACCGCTGAGCATGCTCAAATACGATCCCATCGGTACGACGCCATCGCTCCTTTCTCTCCACCGTCCATGGGCGCGCCGGCCTTACACACGACATCATACTAGAGTCGATGCAATTTTGGGGGAATTGAAGGACCCGCGGGTCTTCGCGGGGCAGGCTAGAAGCAGGAACATGGCTGACAAAGGACAGTGCGGAAACAAGTACTTTTCCTCGAAGCGAAACGCGGCAAGAAATAGAACGAACTTTCCACCACGAGATGAGCCGGCGCAATGGGGAACATTGGACGATCACGATGAGTATTGGATCTGGGCTGTTATGGAAGTCAGGATGAATAGAGGGAAGCCGCGCACCACAGATGGAAGCCCCGGCAGCAAGGACTACCATCTGGAGCCATTGACAGGCATGAAGCAAGCCGCATGCTTGCACGCCTATGTACTATACAGTCAGCATGGTTCGGCGTTATGTACGATACAAAGCAGGCATGAACAGCACGTCTGCCAAACAACAAACAACTTCTCACGCGAGCTTACTCCAACTTTTCCTACCCCATATTCTCAACTGCGCGTCGATATTCATCTCTGCTCACCGTTTCTCCCGTATTCCTGACCCGAACGCCGAGATGAGGATGCTCGCCAAGGTCAAGGCTCCGCTCCGCTGCTTGTCTGGCCTCTTGGCCCTACTTAGTGCATCGGAAAAGCCTCAGCACCTGGACGGGTTGCCCGAAGAGGCCGTTCCGACTGGAGAAAGGCTTGGACTACGTCGCCGATGGGCTTTGTACCAGCCACAAATTACCCCATAAATGCTACTGCTAAGACTCTGGGGTTGCAGGTGATGGCGCACGGATGAGTTGGCTGCAACCTAAACGCGTCTGTGTACCGGCAGGATAGCCGAGTTTGCGGAAGCGCAGAAGTATAAGATGGCGCTGACTAGCAGATGTTTGCACTATTCGTTGGCTAGGACTTGTTCGAGCATCTCGATCTCAAAATGGGTTCCGAAAAGATGGACGAGAAGCGCTCAGAACACTCGCCTGACACGCGTATCGATAACATCAACTATGGGAACTCGTCTTCATCTCAAGACGCCATCGAACAACAAAAGGCAGCATCGCAACCTTCCGGCGT